TCCCTTTGTTCTTTGTTGCTTGCCTTTTTTTGGTTAGTGGGTTGATTTGAAAAGCCGCGCCCTACGTTGCGCAAGCGGGAGTTTTCTAGAGATATACGTCATGTAGGTAGATGGTTATTTTTACGTAATCGGTTAATTATCGTTGTCGGATAGCTGTAGTGGATTATTTATCGAACGGTCGATTTCCGAGCTAGGCATTTTTTGTTGATCGACTGTGATGTGTATCTTCGTTTATACTGTAAGTTGTATTTGAACTAAAGAGTATTAATTTGTATTTGCGCAATTTGAATTTAACTTGATTTGATCGCACTAGTATTTGTTATTTGTTAATTTGATTTGTGTCTTTTCTTTTGTGCTAACTTGTATTTGGTTGATACGTAGTAATTCGTATTTGTGTAATTTCTATTCAACGCGATTTGATAGGAACTGCATTTATTAACTGTTAATTTTTGTTGTATTTTTTGTTTGTTATTTTTGTAACCTGTGCTCAAGCCGCGTCGTAATTTGCATTTAATAGTGATGACATCGCCCAAGCTACTGATCCGTTGTTTGCGGACTGAGCTACGCTGGGCTACAAGCGCCCATGCTTTGATAGGTCGACCGGATAGGGTCCATAACTTGATGAAGCGGTTCGAGCAGGTGGATGCTCGAAGGGCCGCAGTGGAGGAGGCTTACGCTGAGTTCGAGGATTCGGATGTGGAGAAGGGAGTCCTGGACTCCTGCTTCGCGGACTATGAGCAGTTCTTATGGCTCACGGACGAGTTGATCGAGGCTGAAGGCAGGTATGCCGAGGAGGCGCGTGAAGCTCGGATGAGTGACCTGTCCGAGTCCTCTCTGAAGCAGCTTCAGCCGGAGCTGTTGGGACGACTTCCAACTCTGGACCTGCCAAAGTTCTCCGGGGTCCTTTCCGAATGGCTGACCTTCGTTGGTCTTTTCGACTGCCTAGTGGACGCCCGGAGTGACTTGACCCCGAGCCAAAAGATGGTGTACCACCTGGCCTCACTGGAGGGGGAGGCCCTGGGCGTCGTCGGCCACTTGAGATTGTCGGACGACGCCTACCAGACTGCTCGGGACCTCCTAGCCAGAAGATACGCCAACGTCCGGCGAATTGCGGACGAACATGTTAAGCAGCTTCTAAGCCTCCCGCTGCTTAGTGACCGGGCCAGACTGCGTCCGGACCTGTTGGATCCAGTCTTGGTGGCCTGTAATACGTTGAGGCGGCTGGGTTTAGCAGTGGGCGAATGGGCTTTTTTGTTGCTCCGCATCGTGCTGTCCCGTCTACCTCTCGACCTTCGAATCCATTTTGAGGAGAGGTACGGCGGGGACGAGGCCTCCTATATTCCGCCCTTCTATGACCTGCTGCGGTTTTTGGAGGAGCAGTGCCGGCAGATCGAGAACGCGGCGGGCACCGTTGACGACTTACGAGACGTGCCCAGTGAGAGGCTCAACCCGCCAGGCAAGTCGTCGTCAACCCCCCCCTGCTCCTATTGTCGAGCATCTGATCACCGGGTAACGTCGTGCCCGAAATTATTAGGTAAGCCGGTGTAAGCGCCGCTGGTGCTGGTCATGTCTGGGAGGGCACCTCCAGCGAGACTGTCCGCATCGACGGCCCTGTCTGCATTGCCAGGGCAATCACCATGCCGTTTTGTGCCTGGGTGCGAACGGCATCTCCTCTCGGGGCTCTGCCAGGCCCTCGACCCCCACGGGCGGGGGCGCTCAGCCACGCCCTCTGCCGGGCGACTCTCGGCGCCCGCCGGCCAGCCACCGGGCCCCTAGGTTTGGAAGGGGTCCCTCCTCCGACCAGTCGGGGGGTAATTCCCCCAGGGGCGGGGGTGTCATCGCCCCCCCTCAGCGTGTGAAGAGGAACTTCACGGCCACTCATCGGTCCGCTGGACCCTTCTCACTCCCGTTAGCTGAGTGGCCGCGACTGGTGTACCACTATTCCCCATTTGATGGAGGCGGCCCTTGCTAGCTGCCGCCATAGCTCCCACCACGGCCGCCTCCACTGAGCCTTAAGCCGTCAACAGTCCACTTGTTAAGGTGTTCTGTTGCCGACGGCCTCAGTGAAGGCGTACAACCCGAGTGGCGACTGTTAGCGATCTCGGGTTCACGCCATGTGGCCTCCCCTTGGTGGTGGGAAGATTAGGGCCCCTCTGGAGCGTTGAATCACGCTGTCAAGGGGTATTAGATTTGGTTTGGTCGAGCACTTAGTCAAAAAAATACTTGAATTAAAATTAAAAATTGCTTTGGGCTTTCCGCGAAATTTTCCTATTTGTAGCGGTTTAAATTAAAAAGAATTGAATTTAATCTACTCCTTTAAATGCTACTGCATGTGTTTTGTACATATATTTAATCACTGTATTTGATTGTTGCGTCTGTTTGCTGAAAGGAAATTGAATGACGCGCTATTTGAAAAATTATGTAACATATACATAGATAGTGTTTAATCATTTTGCTTTGCGAAGAAGTAGGGCTGTCCCTTACGTTATTGTTTTGTTTAATTTGCAAGTTGACCTATGCGCATCGGTGATTAATTTGGTTGAATTAATTCTGTAGTTGAACATTGATGCTTTTGAAAAATTAGTTGAAATATGAGCATAGGACTACTTGCCTAACAGGCTAGCTAGTTTTGGAGATTATCAGATTGAAATCAGCTGCCGCACTATTTTGGTAAATGATAATATGGTGGGTGGCCTGGCTAGGCCTACTTGTTGAAAATTCATACTAGGGACTATCTGTGCGTTTCGTTCGGCTCTTCACAGACGACGTTCATGTGGAATTTGTGGGTGCTCTCTGCACTGAAGCTTAGGAGGCCGCTCGGGGCCGCTTCGTGTCGCGTCGCTGTTTGCAGAGCTGATCCGGTCGGATTGCGGAACTAATCATAGGGGCACAGATAGGTGTTTGAAAGAGGTCGTCGGACTTCTGTCCAGTACAGGACTTGTTAAAGTGCTGCGATGCCCAGGAGGCGCATCCAGTGGAGGCTGACCCTCCGGCTTGCCACATAAGGGCTATTTTTTGAGGCGCTGGTTAGGGTTGCAAGATCTGATGGGGTGCCTAAGGTGGCCTAGTTTGGTTGTAGAGTCGGTCTTGCAACTTGCCTTCGCGACCTTGTCCCGCTGACCGGTTTGCTCGCGGACCTAAATCCTTATGTCCGGGACGGGGGTTTGTTCGCGCAAAACACTTTCAAGGATTGACGCGAGAGGGCGCTCGGCGCGGTGCATTCATACCGGTTTGACTTTCGGTCGTGCGAAAAACGCCCAAGGGCAATCAGTCGTCTTTAATCGGTGCTGACGTGAGCACGCGGTCCATTCTGTTAGGGAACTCGGAATAATTCGGCGCGGCCAGTAAATATACGGTCTATCATTGTGACGCGCATTCCTCCTGGAGAGCTTCCCAGGGACTTATTGTGTCTGACTCAGAACCTGCATAAGTGCATTCGGAAATATTAGATAGTGCGGCCTCTGATATTCTAGAATTAACTATTGCTACGCGAAACGGTAGTGACCTTTGACCCTTTAAACTCCGTGTGCGTTTGTGCGGTAACCATTATACCCAGCGATAGTTAGTGGCTTCTGTAAGTTAGTAAATCGTACGATAGAGTTAATTGACTGTCAACGTGACGAAAGAAGAAAGTGACTGTGGACAACCTCGAAAGGCCCCCTCAAGTTGGAGCGGTGTCGACGCTCGGGCTGCTGCCGACGCCCAAGGTCTAGGTTCAATCACCATCAGTCACACCCAGATACACACCACATCACCATTCTTTCTCTTGCACTACACAACCACATGCGACCTGACCGACTCCGGAGGGACCAGTCGCCTTGGATAGGTAAGTAAGCTTCGTCTAATTCCTTCCGGTCGACTGGCCGTTGTATAGAACGCTCCCCCATATATTTTAGTGTACTTAGAGAGATTCCACGTGGCCACATTGAGCCCGACCTACGTCTGCTCGGGAGGCCTTCAGCTCATGGGCCCCTGACGGTCTGATCCTTTAAGGGAGCAGCCGTAGGCCGTAAAAAAAAAATTATTATTTTTATATATATATATATAAGGTAGGTATGGCAATTAACGCCCGTGGTTTAATAACGCCCAGTCTTATGAAAACGTTATTAATTTGTTATGATTCGTGTTACACCTCACACACACATGAAGTACACCCTTACGAATGCACGAGTACGACGACCATGCTCTAGCGCCGCCATCTTGACTAGGGGTGGGCAAAGGGAAAAAAATATATCGAATCTATATTTTTAAACAGTATCGATATATATCGTGTGATAAATATCGTTATATCGATATATCCTCATCAATTGAATGATGTAAAGATAAGGTCTAAAATTTTATCTACTGACGGTTGGACGACGAAAAATACGATACAATATTTTAAAATATATCGAAATTGATACGAATTCGATACTCTAAAATAAATATCGAAATGTCGATATATCGCGATTTAAAATATCGACGATATATATCGATATTTTATTTTAAATTATCGATATTTCGATATATCGATATTTTTTGCCCAAGCCTAATCTTGACAGTGACGCGCTTCGCATATCGAACGTCGGTTGTGAACACCACTTTTATGAAAATTGCTCCAGAAAATTGTAAGTTTTTATTTGTTTTACCGCATTTTTCGTAAAATTTCTTGTAATATTTACTAGTTTACTAATTTTTCTAGTATGTGCTATGATATTTTGAGTTTATTTTTGTAATATTGTATTAAAATACGTGGATTGAATAACAATTCCCTTTCGGGTAACAACGGCCAGTAAAAAACTGTTGGGCGGTATTAGCCTATATGCGTTGTTGACAAATGGGCGTTATTAGGCTTAATATATTTATTATGTTATTTCAATACAAAATTTTCTTAATCATGTCTATAAAAATTTAGCTGTACGATACCAAACTAAATCGAAAATAAAACTTAGTTAAGTAATAAAATCTATAATTTTGGAAAACATTTATTATTTATGTTAATTATTACGCAGGTTAGTAAAATGGCTCCAACCAGGTCCAAGGGTGAAAAAAGAGGGCAATTGTGGACTGAAGGATGCTTGAAAGCAGCAATGAATGCTGTTCAAAGAGGCCAATTGTCTCAGCGTGCTGCAGCTTCCAGGCATAATATTCCGCGAAGAACATTGAGGGATCATTTAAAAACGGGCACAGTTGTTAAGCGTTTGGGAAGAAAACCAATTTTTACAGAACACCAAGAAAATGACCTCGTAGAACGAATAAAAAGATTCGCTAAAATTGGTGCACCCCTCACGCCAAAATTCATAAGGAAACAAGTCTACATGTTTTGTGAAACATACAAAATAAAAAATAATTTTAATAATTCCAAAAGAATTGCTGGTACTGATTGGTTGAGATACTTTTTAAAGCGGAATCTCTCAATTAGCAAACGAAAGCCGCAAATAATGAATCCAGCTCGTGCACAAAAATTGAACAAACCAATTGTTCAGCAACATTTTCAGAGTGTGCAAAAATTGTACAATGAGATGGATATTCTACAACATCCAGAAAAATTGTACAATATGGATGAAAAAGGATGCCGGATAACTGTACACAAGCAGAACACAGTTCTAGCAGAGAAAGGAAGCAAAAGAGTTCATCTCATTGCCCCTGAACACGCGGAAAATGTTACGATAGCAATGTGCGTGAATGCCATTAGTACTGCGATACCACCTATGATCCTATTTAAAGGAAAAAGACAGAGGCCTGATCTATGTGAAAACTTACCAGTAGGGACGTTAGTCAGGATGGCACCGAAAGGCAGTATGACTGCTGATTTGTTTCTGGAGTTCATTAAGCACCTAGCGAAATACAAGGTTGCTGGAAAATGCTTACTTATATTTGATGGTTAATGTCACTTGTCAATCGAAGTTCTAGATGAAGCTGATAAATAAAAATGACATAGTTTTGTATTGCCTCCCTTCCAATACAACGCACGAGCTTCAGCCCTTAGACAAATCAGTCAATAAGTCGTATGAACACCACTGGGATGAAGCAGTTCTGAACTTCTTATACACAAACCCCGATAGAACAATATCAAAAACCACGTTTAATAGGATATTTAGTCAAGTATGGCCCAAATGCATGACGCATAGCAACATTGTAAATGGATTTGCGGCAACAGGACTATTCCCGTTTAATCCAGAAGCTATACCGGAGGAAGCATATGCCCCGTCAGTTTTGTCTGAAATTGCATGCCCACAAACTAGCGTGGAGCCCATTCAAAGTCCTATATCTGGCGTCATATTAAACGATGACACTGATGGACGATCTACCAATTTGTGATTGGCTCCTGCAGAACTCTACATCTAATGTATTGGAGTTAGACGAATACCCTGGCCTTAACCAACCAACTGATTTGGGACCAATCGTCCCTTCAACAACTGAAAACTTTACTAGAGTTAAACGCCGTCTCGTTGACTATAGCTCATCACCCGATGTTTCTGACTTAGAAATGTTAGAAAATCCACATGGAGCAGCAACACAGGTGGGAGAACACTGTGCTTCACCTTCTTTAATTCCCGAAAATGACGTTTTATTGGTAAGTGCGAATGACGAACCACTTCTAGACAATGAGGATACTTATAAAATAGATTTGGGAGTTCCAAGTTGTTCGGGATTACATAGACCTATTCGTCCAAGCTCGAGTTCTGACTCCACAATTTCTGATTTAGATACTTTAGTTCATATGACTCCCTTTAAAAAATGCGCAGCTGAAGACGTATATAGTTACTCGTCAGCCGAAGATGATGATAGTCAGTATTTTATATCTAAAGGGCAAATAACACCTAAGAAACTTATTATTAGTTCCTCATATGAAATGTACAAAACAAAGGCTGAGAACTTCAGTGTCTCAGATGGAGATTATAATATTAATTTAAAGAAACAAAGTAATAAGACACCATTCCAAATTTTTTTGCCAACTCCCAATTATGCACAAGTTAAAACAAAAGGACAGCATAAGAAAGCGATGAACTATAAAGGACAAAGAATAACTAAGGATCTATTTTCAGAAAAAAGTGAGAAACAACAAAAAAATAAAATAAATAGCAAGGTTGATGCTAAAACAAATAAACAACAGAAGAAGAATATATTAGATAAGAAAAATCCTAACACTAATGAAGTAAACACTAAGAAAAAAGTTTTAAAGTGTAAAGATATAACGAAAAAACAACAGAGAAAAAAGAAGCAAATAAATGAAGGAAAAGATGATACCGAAGAGTGGTACTGCTATGCATGTTTTGAAAACAAGAAGTTAGATATGCGTCAATGTGGAATTTGTAAAAGATGGTACCACGAAGAGTGTGTAGGACTATCGAAATGTGATAAAGAATTTATTTGTTCCGAGTGTTAATCTAGTTTATACTATTTAATGACTTTAAGATAAAGCAAGTTAACTGATCGGTTTGATATTCAAAGACTGATTTATATTGTATCATACTATAGTTTAAAAAATGTTTTATTTGTAATTGACAGTAGTCTTCTATTTTTTATGTAACTGTGATAATTACCTCATCTCATTATAATTATAAAACATTAGTTTGTGAAGTAACTCTCATTACGAATGGTCTATATTACCTAGCTCTAGGGCGATATTACCTACTATAGTACAGGGCGCAATAACCCACCATCGTATAATAACGCCCACTAAACCAAAAAAAATGTTTCTTTTTTAATCTTATTAAAAGCTATTGTGCTAGTAATTATTACTAATTTAAATGTAGCATCGAATTTGTTTTAATAATGATGATTAAAAAGAAGTTACAAGTAATGTTACATGTGGTGCGAAGTTTATTACTTTTTATGTTTATTGTTGATTATTTACCTAAATTTTGTATTCTTATCAGAAAAAATATAAGTAACATCCGAATTATCTGTGGTTTTCAATTATATAATGACTATAACTGCATTATTCGTTAATCAACTCAAACGGGCGTTAATAAACTATGTATTTTTAATAACGCCCAAGTTAGAATTTTTTAAAAAGTTGTATCGGTGTGGAACTGTAATTAATAATAGATCAAAATTAGCATTTTTCAATTAACTAATATATTAAAATACCTTTAATATACAATAAAAATAATTTCATTAATTAATAACATCACAAATTTCATTTTAAGTTAGGTGGGCGTTAATTGCCTTGGTTACCTTATAATGTGTTATTTAAGAATTCAACGAAATGTAATATCATGTTTTCTTTGTACTCGTATATCGCAACTAATTGTAAACGATGTTGACATGATCTTTTGTATGGAAGGCAACGGAATCTTACACTAATATGATACCGAAGTTTTACGATTACAGAATGATGCTGTGCAATAATAATATGCTGTTGCGTCCTGACTCCTGACTTGCTTTCAAAATACTGTTTTATACTTTTTATTTACTTTACCTACGATTAAAATCCTGTATTTCAATTGATAAAAAAGAAAGGCTTGATAAAATAAACTATTATTTTCTTATACAAAACTGTAAAATGGTTTCATACGTTTGCTTTGTGACATAATTTGATTATCTATAATTGATAGTTTAGGTAATGGGCTCGATCAACCAATGCATAATCGTGGTTATGTTAATTTTTTTTGGTGCTTTAAGAACTGAACCACACAGACATACACAAAAATGTAATAGAAAATAGTAAAATATATGTAAATACTGGTTATAGTCTTTACATAATGTACGCGAGATGCGTTTATATAAGATATGACTACTAAATAATAAAATTTATAAAAAGGAGCCACAGAAATACTCTAAAATATTTGAGATTTTGGTATGGATGTGTGAAAGTAGAAGATAGAAATATCGGGAAAGAAAGGAATATAATCGTATGGATTTTGAATGTTGTATATGTAGGATGATGTAAGTGATGTATAAATAAAGTATTAAAAACTATGCGAATGATTTCCCTAGTTATAGGAATGAAAGAATTTGTGTAAAGCCATCGGATATAAACATTAGCTAAGATAAGCTAATATTTTAGGCTCAAACTAAGCGATATGCTTAATTCAATGGAGATGGAATTAGAATGAAAAGGTATAATAATATTTTATGAAAATAATGTAAAGATAAAGTACCGGCACATTTCTTGATCATACTGTACGCGAGTTCGTCGGCGTGAAAGATTGTAACACAGAGTACGAAAATAATATAAATAAAAAAATGAATAACCAATACGAGAGAAAAATAAATAAAAATTAGGGATGGTCCGGCTATCCAATTAGAATGATATAAAAAATGATACGTGGTAGAGCCATGCTACAGCTATATTAATAGTATAGTTGTAGCGCGAATGGGTCGGCTCGACCGAGGAAGGACCACGCTATCACATAAATAATAGCAGTTTAATGCTGCTGTGTTTCGTATGGTGAGTTTAAAGAACCGGAGACCCTTTTTACTGGAAAAGGGGCATTCCATCTTAGTCCTCACGGGTGACAACATCCAATCAAAATTTTGATTCGTAATCGAGGATTGCCGTGCCGTGTAGTGGCGGTTAAGAATATCCACTACCCCATATCTTCCCGTGGGTGTCGTAAAAGGCGACAAAGGGAAACAGCCAGGAGATGGGCAGCAGCATCTTCCTGATAATAGCCAAATGACAATAAAAAAAAACTGCGGTTGCCAACCCGCTCGCCAAGCGTGGCAACTATGGCAAATACCCCCCAATGATGAGAGCAACAAAAAAACGGCCCCCAGTCCCCGGCGGCCCCGCTATTCCTGGCTACGGTGGCGACCATGGTAACGGCGGGGCAGGGGGTGCTAAGAATCTCCGGTGGAGGTTCGGTTGCCACCTTAGACGACTCGACCTGGCAACATACAACGCACGCACCCTGAGGACTGACGAGAAGATTGTGGAGCTGGAAGAAGAGATAGACAAGTTACGCTGGCATATTATAGGATTATCCGAAGTCCGAAGAGAGGGGGAGGACACGGTAATCCTCGAATCCGGCAACTTGCTCTATCACCGGGAGGGCGACCATCTGTCCCAAGGAGGTGTCGGATTTATCGTCCACAAGTCTCTCGTTAACAACGTTGTAAAGATTGAGAGTGTGTCGACGAGGGTTGCGTACCTTATACTCAGAATCACCAAACGGTATTCGCTGAAGGTCATACAGGTTTACGCACCAACCTCGGCACACCCCGATCAGGAGGTGGAGGAAATGTATGAGGATATCTCTAGAGCCATGCATTCCTCCAAAACCCAATATACGGTGTTAATGGGAGACTTCAATGCAAAACTAGGCACAAGAGAGAACGGTGAGCTGAAAGTGGGGAAATTTGGAATAGGGCAACGGAACCCAAGGGGCCAGCAGTTGGCCGACTTCATGGAGAAAGAGGGACTCTTTATGATGAACTCTTTCTTCCAGAAGCGGCCCCACAGGAAGTGGACCTGGTCGAGCCCCGACGGTTCGACAAAAAATGAGATTGACTTCATTATGACGACCAGACGACAACTGTTCAGTGATGTCTCAGTGATCGCGAGGGTGAAAACCGGCAGCGATCACCGAATGGTTAGAGGCACACTGAACCTAAACGTTAAGTTGGAGAGGACTCGTCTAATGAAGTCAACGCTCCGTCCCCCTCGTGCTCTAATCCAAAGTCCCGAAACCTTTCAGCTCGAGTTGCAAAACCGTTTTCAGTGCCTAGAAGACTGCAATGAAGTGGACGATTTGAATGACAAGCTCGTGGAAACTGTCCATGCGGTCGGAGCTAAGTTCTGCAAGACCCGCCGCAGAAGAACACAAAAACTCTCCGATCACACTCTTAATCTCATGGCTGTTAGACGGGAGATGAAGCTACATTCTTCAACAGATTTGACAGCATACAGGCAACTGAACAGACAGATCTCCAAATGCATGCGGCGGGACTTACGCAACTTCAATACAGCTCGTATTGAAGAAGCGATCGAGCGGAACCAAGGCTCCAAAGTCTTTGCCAGAGATCTGTCTGCCAGAAAGAGCCAACTGTCAAAGCTGAAGACCGAATGTGGCAGCATCGTTTCCGGGGCACCTGAGATTTTGAGTGAGATTGAGAGGTTCTATGGGCAGCTGTACACGTCATCGTTGGAGCCACACGCAAGTGTGAGTAACGATCCAAGAGCGAGTCTTATCCGACATTATTCCGATGATATCCCGGACGTCAGTCTGAGCGAGATTAGAATGGCTCTCCAGCACCTTAAAAACGGCAAGGCCCCAGGCCAGGATGGAATTACAGCGGAGCTTCTGAAAGCGGGTGGAAAACCGGTACTTGAAGTCCTTCAGAAGCTCTTTAATTCCGTCCTCCATGGTGGCATTACACCGGAGGCGTGGAGCAGAAGTGCGGTGGTCTTGTTCTTCAAGAAAGGTGACAACGCTCTTTTGAAGAACTACAGACCGATTTCCCTTCTGAGCCGCGTCTACGTGCTGTTTTCGAGAGTCATTACGAATCGTCTCGCGCGCAGACTTGACGACTTCCAGCCTCCCGAACAAGCCGGTTTCCGAAAAGGCTTTAGCACCATAGACCACATACATACCCTTCGGCAAATTGTACAGAAGTCCGAAGAGTACAATTTGCCACTATGTCTGGCGTATGTGGACTATGAGAAAGCCTTTGATTCCGTCGAAATTTGGGCGGTGCTGCAGTCCCTTCAGCGATGCCAAGTTGACTGTCGGTATATCGAAGTGTTGAAGTGCTTGTACAGTAGGGCTACGATGGCTATCCGAGTACAGAACCAGAGTACGAAACCTATCCAATTGCAGAGAGGTGTAAGACAGGGTGACGTCATATCCCCGAAACTCTTCACCGCTGCATTGGAAGATGTTTTCAAGCTTCTGGACTGGAAAGGATACGGTATCAACATCAATGGCGAGTACATCACTCACCTTCGATTTGCCGACGATATAGTCCTTATGGCAGAATCGCTGGAGGACCTAAGCACTATGCTCAATGACCTCAATAGTGTTTCCCAACGGATAGGTCTTAAGATGAACATGGACAAAACAAAGATCATGTTTAATGTCCATGTCACACCTATGCCGGTAGTTGTTGGGAACACTAAGCTCGAAGTTGTTGACGAGTATGTTTACCTGGGACAAATAGTCCGATTAGGTAAGTCCAACTTCGACCGAGAGGTCAATCGACGGATTCAACTCGGTTGGGCAGCGTTCGGGAAATTACGGCACATCTTCTCGTCAGGTATACCTCAAAACTTGAAAACGAGACTGTACACCCAGTGCGTGTTGCCAGTGATGACATACGGAACTGAGACGTGGTCCTTCACTGCTGGCCGGATGAGGAAGCTCAAGGTCGCTCAGCGAGCTATGGAGAGGGCTATGCTCGGAGTTTCTCTGCGTGATAAACTCAGAAATGAGGATATCC